GATTTCCATGTAAGGTATAATAACTGCTCATCAGAAAAATAAATATAATTGATCAATAAATGTATTTGCATTCTTAATTGTTCTTCAAGATACTCCAATTAGCTCCCCCTAAAATGCTTTGTATGCTGGAATAATTGGAAGTTAATATGGGAATATCTTGTCCCATGGTGGTAAATGTCAGCTGTCGGCGGCTGAGCTGTGTGACCGGGGCAGACAGTAACCAGAGACAGAGGGGTGTCAGCCAAGGTCACCCCACACCTCGGGCCCCGCGCTGGAGTCACGCGTCGGCTGCCCTCCTTCAGAGCCGCTCTGCCCTCAGAACAACTTCAGCTTTCATATTAGGAATCCAACATGGGTCAAATGGCTTCAGGCTGGGAACAACAACAAACATATTCAACCATTCCCTGTGTTGAAGAACAAGTTACCAGCCATTGTGCAAATTTGCTGTTTGAACACTGACAATAAAATAAGAAGCAGCAATAGGACAACAAAAGGATCAAAGTGGTATTCACCCGGTGACAACAAAACATCAAATGCTTGAAATTATGGCCACTACACTAGCTGTGTTCACGTTAGACAAAACACAAGTCATGAAAAGTCAGCATGAAATGTGGATTAGAGGAGGAGACTTTTCAACCATTTACTGTGTTGCTTTTCACCATTCAACCACTGGGCAGTATTCATCCCACCTTCCATTGAGATGCTACCTGCATGTGAAAGCCAGATCCTATCAGACCTAAGACGCTAAGCAGGGTAGGGCCTGGTTAGTATTGTGATGGGAAACCTCTGGGAACACTGGGTGCCACAGTGGGGAGGCTGTGCTGTAAAGTGCCGAACTGTCGTTGTGTCCTTAGGCAAGTCAGAGGGGCCAATGGCACATACAGTTTGCCTTGTTTTGCTCCCTCTGCCCCAGGGCAGATGTGTTTGAGCTTATCATTACCGCACATTATTTGCACAACACCTCATGGTGTATTATCCAATTCCACCAGCTATTGGAACTCCAATTACAGTTACAATACATTTGTTGGGGGTAAATTTGAGGAGATTTTTAAACTAGACCTATAGTTTACCTCGTGTAGACACTTCCATGCCAAATTATTGAGCTGTCAATCTTTAGTTTACTCGAAATGTTTCTCACACATTTTGTTGATTTTTAATTCAATTAAAAGAATGTATTAGTGAAAACTTTAAAAATGAGGAGAGCAAAACAGCTGAAGATGATTTTCACTCTGATATTCAATCCAAAAAAACTCTCCATTCAGCTCTTCTTTTATTAATCACTAAATGTATGTAATTCAGATTATTAGTTGACTTAAAATAAGCACAGAGCCCAGTTATCTGCGTTGCTCCTCTGTCAACATAATGTTAAAAATATAACATAACTGACCAATGTTTCTCAAACTTTTCATTTAGGGCCCCCCAAAACCTGGAAAATGGTGACTTATATCCGCAGTAAAAAAAAATGTTGGGGTGTTGACTTAAATGTAAGATTACCTCAAATAATCTCAGATTTACAGTACAAACCTGTTCTAATCATCTCAGATGTTTAAATTGTAATTTTATTCCCTTCAGGAGGACACATGATGGAAAATAGCCCTTAGGCTAATCCTGGCATATTTACAGGTATAATGTATATTAATATGCACGTTCCCTTCAATAAATCAATAAATAAAATAAAGTAGCTATCACCTTCATTAAAAAAATAAAACATATATATATACTTTTTCATAAAGAAAAATTATGTACATGTATTAATTTCAGCAGGCTACTTCTACCTGCATTCAAGAAAACATAAAATGTGTTTTTTTGCAGGAGTAATAAAGTGTTACTTGTGGCTAACCCATTAGTATAGTTGTTATAATAGATCCATGGACCACACTGAGCTGGCTGTTGTCGCCATCCCGTGGAGGATTGGAAGTCCCGCATGGCACACCTCCGTGGACACTGGCTGGTCTGTCTGCAACAAAACATCCGGTTAGTCCAGTTTTAATGATCACATTTCCAAAAAAAGGAAACACAATAATTATCAATGCACAATGGTGTTCCAACTAACTCGGACTTTAGCTATTCTGTGAGCTACTTGGAACGTTTGTTAGCTACCTAAATGAAGCTATGCTCTCTTTGCCATGTGGTCAGACGGTCGCGACGAACACAACTATTTGCAATTACATAGACAAGCAGACGTGAACACAATTGGTCTTGAAACAGTCGTTGTAGTGACACCTAAGAATGAGACAGTGAGAGGAGAAACAATGCATCTTTGTGTCTGATCAGGTCTCACCATTGTCAGGTTAATCTGCAGGAGCTGCAGGAGCTACAGGAGCTACAGGAGCTACAGGAGCCGAGCCTGCACTGACGCACAACTCAAACTTTCTTTTCTTACTGTGGGGATGACCAACATTCTTTTATTGAATGATATATATATAATAAATACATTGTATATGTAAAATTTATTCAGAGGGAATATCAGTGAATTTATCTCTGGTTCCTAAATTACAGGTCCAAAGTGGTTATAATTATGCACATGTGTGCATAATTATTACACAGTACAGTTTACACCTTGACTAATGCACATCATTTGTTATAATTCTGTACACAATAATGATAAAGGCTCCTTCATTCCATAAAGTATTACAGACTACGGCTATATCCTTGGGATAGTAGCTCCTTGGTTGTAGCATGATGTTAGAGCCGCGGACATGTTCATTGGTAAAATTGAAAAAAATAGTCTTGTGAATCTTGAATCTCCTGTCTCCATCATTTAGCATCTTTTCAAGACAATTGGGTCATTTGATTTGTGGTGCACACATTTTTAATTAATGATTTATACAATGTATTCACCTCTGCCTTGCGCTCTGTCCTATAGTGCCAACTTGTTCCCAACTTGTGTGGCATTGGTCAATGTTTAAACTGTATTGTGATTTTGCAACAAGTCTACTGTTTTCTGTTTTGGGCTTCAGTTTGCCATAATTAGATTTGGGCTCTGTCTGACACTAAAGATGCCACCAGGCAAGGATGCTTGGTAACAGGCCCAAACACAAGCTTTCCTCTGTTTAAACTCTGAATGTGTGTTTTCTGGGCTTTGTTTAATCGCTGCTCGGTTGGCGGGGCTGACTTAGTCGACAATTAGGGTGAGATGTTCTCACATTTGCTGCTGCAGAACAGCCCAAACAGAGCCTGATCTTAACTCCAAACCTGACTCACGAATGGCTAATCCCGTTGATGGAAACAGAATCCCACCCCAGTCAAAGCTGTGCCCCAGGTGAAGCCTCACAGGCCCAGGCCTGTCCCTTTATCAGAACTTGTGAATTGGGAGAGCCCTCTTGGGCACACAGCCCGGGCTGTGGTTTGGCTAATTAGAGACTATGTTTTCCCATAAATATCTATAGACATGAAAATTAGACCCATAATGAGTAGTTAAAGCTTGTGAAAGTGATGATGCAGAGAAGGCCAATTCTAAGCCAGTAGAAGAAATTCTTAGAGGTTGCAAGTGTTAACCATATATCACTTTATTTATAGTATTTGTTTATTTTGCTAATTGTATTCCATTAATGGAAGAAGACGTCTCTGACTCCTGAAACCTGGGCCACAGTGATGAGTGTTTAATGATTATTATATATTCATGCTAATCTCCTGAGGATTATCCTTGTATATTGTTGGCTGTTGACTTTCCTTTGGCGTAGTGTTAGGGCCGTTTAACAGGTGCTAATAAGATCAGGCCTGATAGGTTATCTCTGAATCTTCAGTGTTGGTGACATCTCAACAGTGAGGTGGACCCTGTAATCACATTGTCCTTACTAAGTCCTTCTGATAGCCCCAAACAAAATCTCAATCCCATTGCAGATAAACTGACTAATTGTGGATTGCACTAGTATTAAGTAGAAAATAAGTATCCATCTGCCTGGCAACCGGCCAATCGTTTAAGAAGGCTTAGAGCACAACGCCATTTTATTTGTTGCTATTATAGCAACAATAATACAATTTGGTGTCATATTACTAAAATACAAATTATACTCAGATGACACATAGTACAGACTACTTATTGATTTTGTTGAGTCCATTTAAATTGAAAATAAACAGCATAATACAGTGAAGAATATGGTGTATTGTGATCAGTGATGTTTTTTCTTGGCTTGTTTAATGACTTGGGGATCACCTTACTATTGTAAATGTCATCCAGGTTATTTCATCAGCTGTGTGGCTCCTGTTTAATCCATGGCTGACTCTGGAATGAACTCTGGAAGGACTGCAAATGTTCAGATCCACTTTCAAGACAAAACAGTAAGATAATCAGCTGACTTGCACTCACACATTTTTGGTACTCATCAACTTTGATTAATTTGAATAAAACCGGAACAAAACAACGTAGGTCAAAACCATAAATTAGAATCAAAAAGTGTTGGTTGCGTAACACTTCAGGCACTCGATCGGTGTGAAGTCTATTTCAAGTGCTGAAACTGTATGCCTCTGTGGGAAATAGCTTGGGAGAACATTACGTGTTATACGTGATCAGAAGCACCGCTCTATATTTATAAAATCATGACTCATGCTCGTGGGGACCAGTAGAGGACAGCCAACATGGAGCAACAGAAGTGCACACAGACCAGCAACCGGCGGCAACCTAACAGGTAGGACACCTGTTCAGCAGAACCATATTCCACTTGTTGTGTATGGGACTGTTTTGCATGCTTGTTGTATACAATTATATGAAATATAATGCCCCACCTTTGTATTCACTAGTGGTTCTATAAATATTAACATAAACTAAATATCTTTCGTAGATAATATTTGGTACATTTTCTTTGCTGTGCTATTTAAAATGATGTGGATTCCAGTAATGTGATTTTTTTTTATGCAGATGAGTGTCAGACTTTTGACCCAAAATGGATGACTTTGAATTCAGTGTGGATATAAGTGAACAAGACTGGAAGTGCTTTTTTTCTCAGTGTGAGGAATGTAATGTACTTTCGCCCTCCCTTGCTGGTCTGGAGGACTCTGGGATGAGCGACCTGGATGACGCAGGGGCGCGCTTTGCAATGAAGTTTCAGAAAAGTAACTTAAATACAGATCTCCTCGAGGAAGATGAACCGGCAGATTCACCGTGGGAGTGCCCTCCTGATGAGCTGTACCCAAGCAAACACTTCTCTGGGGGCCTAGAGAGTGTCCTGTCAGGCAGTGAGGAGGACATCCACCTGCAGTCAGTCAATATGTTCATTGAACAGATGAAAAGCTCCTCTGAGGGAGTGAAATCAGCCAAGCAAGGCCAAGTGGGAGTTGTACAGAACGGAACAATGCAAGGGAAGCTCGGTGGAGCTGGGAGGTTGAACAAAAGCACTGGTAGTGCTTTGCCAAAAAATGTCTCAAAGTTAAACTCTATATCTGACATAAAGATCTCTAAACCTGTCAGCCCCATTCAAAACAAATACTTTGTAAGAACCGATGAGTCCAGCTCTGAATCTTCTGTCAGTGTCTTCATGAGGCACCCTTACCTTAAAACACAACTCTACATCGAATCCAGCACAGAAAATGAGAATGACCCTCTATCCAAAATCAACATGAGTAAAGGTTTCTCATCTTCAAAACCAAACCCAGTGATGAACAGTAAATACACAGTGGACAAAAGCACCCAAGTGTCACAGTCAAACACAGACACTATGCCCAAAGCAGTGATTATGGAGGGTTCGCCTTGTGCCTCTGTTAAAAGAAAGAGAAGAAAGAAGCGAAGACTCAGTGTTGAACCTGCGAATAATCTCTTCTCATGTGAGAGACTGTGTGACTCGGAGGATGAGTTGTTTACTTGGAGAAGAGCCATAGATCCGTGCTTTTGTGATTGGTCTGGTCTAAAGCATCAGCATATCAAAAATGTTATCACGCCTCCATTACGTCAGTATACATTCAGTAATAGTCTCCCAGCTGGATTAGAAACTACAAAGATTCAGCCTAAAGCCCAACACTGTCAATATCAGAGTGTTTTGATACAAGATAATTTTGACTCCACGAGTGTGACAAAAATATGGCCCAGCGCTGATTGTGATCTTGTAAAAAATATTGGAGGCTTTGCAGGTATGGACGAACTGACTCAAGTAAAGGAAATTCAAAAGGCAAAGGTTGCATCTAAAGACATGTTTAGAAACGAGGTCAAATCAATAACTGATTCTATTTTCCCAAGCACCGAGTCAAATGATCAGAGAGAGGCTCTTGGCCAAAGTGACAGAGGATCCTCTGCTAAATTGGTCATGCGTGAGGAGGCTGAAATCAAGAAAGTTTTGCAGTGCCAAATAGAGAGCGAACACCACCAGCAGCTGGAAACTCAAACTCTTATAGCATACCAATGTAGTCACATGGTGGAAAATATGAAACCTACCTGTATATCAAGTATTTCTACTGCATCTGACAAAACAAGATGTTATGCTTCTCAAAGTACTGACCAGGAATCAGAAGAAACTTTGACAACTTTTCCACTTTTTGTGGATAGTACTGTTGTTATAGATGATGGCGAAAAAAAAGTATGTACATCATCAAACCATGAAATCATTGAGGTATGTGAGGCTGATGCACCACAAGAGACAAGTGAAGGATATCTTATCACAAGTGGAAATGTAGCTCAGATAAGTGAGTTACAAGCACTTTCAGACAAGCAGTCACTTTCCACATCATATTCTACGTTATCATCTGGCTGTACTCCTGAAACAAAGCCTCTGCCAAAGGAAAATGTTTCCCAAACATCAGAATGCTTTGCTCTTAGTCAGAATGGTCCAAGTTTGCAAAATGAAAGCGTACAAGTTATTAGTATGTATAAAACAAAGGACCTATTTTTACAAAATAAAATCCATAATTTAACAGATGAAGCTGCAGCGCCGTGTTGGGATCAAGTTGAAGCTGCGATAACAAAATGTGAATCAAAAGACTTGACAGACCCTATCATATCTGACCATGCTGTTTTTACCATGTCCTCGTTCTGGAAAGAAATGGAAAAAATTACTATAAATGATATTTTGGGATTACGAAAAGAAAAGAAAAATCCATCAAGTTTCCTCCCATCGTTACAGAAAGCTGATAACACGGACTGTTTCACTCTGTCTGACTTGGGCTCCTGCATTCAAACAGAGGAGAAAAAACTGGATCAAGCGTGTAAGGACGTGCAATCTACCATCCCAGGTCCAGTAGACTGTAATTTGAGTAGTATTCAAAAAGATACATCAGTAAGTGCCTTGAATGAACTGGTCCCAATGAGCCTACCTCAAGAAAACATTTATAACACTAAGATAACTTTAAATGACATGTATGAACCTCTTGTATCTCCAGGTATTCAAAGGGGTCTAAGAAGAATGCCTAACAATATTAGCGTGCAAAATTTGCATTTACTTCACTCAGACCCTTCTGGTTACAAATGTATACAGCCATCTATAGTAGAATCTGTAGAGGAAGATAGATGTAATCATATTGATTCCCTTCCTGAAGAACCGGTGCCTAAAGATCTCAAACCTTCCTCTATGATTGAAAACTTAACATTTTGTATTTCTGATTTATACAGTTTTTTCTTTAGTGAAAAACAACCCAATTCTAGTCTTGAGTCTCCGATCGCAATTGCTGTAAATCATTTTACCAACGGTGACTCTGTACCTGAAAATTATGACCATTTCTTCTCAGAATTTGACACTGACACATTGTTCTACACAGAAGAGGTCACTTCTGAGCTGGTACCTATTTTCTCTTGCTCACGTTCATCAAAAACAAAAAAGGAGTGTCGTGACGCCTATGATTATTTCCTTGTCTCATCGCCTGACAATTCCTCCACAGAGTCAGATGAAGAGGACTGTGAGGATAGTGCCCCCATTCGAGTAGTTACACGGTTCACTCGTAAAGCAAGCTCCAAAGATATAGTGACGGATGCATATGAACATTTCTACACAGACCGTGATCTCAAACAAGACTTTTTCAAGACCACATTCTCATTCAGGAATTTTAATTTACCTGGAAGTAGTGCAGCCAAACCAGCATCAACAAGTGCTGAGGCTCTGAGACCTCTAAGACAAAAATCAGGATTGTTTCAGAAGTCGGCACCCATCAGTGTCCTGAGAAATCAAGATTTTTCTGTTCTTTGCAACTTTGACAAACGGATTATCACAAAACTACAACAGCCTTTAATTTTTGAGAGTATACAGACTGCTGTTGCCAATCCAAGTAAGTTGGCCCACAATATATTCTTTATAACATGAACTGTGTTTTTGTGTAGAAAAAGTAGTATGTCACTGTTTTTGTGAAAACACAGAAAGAGATCATCTCTAATCCTAATTACAGTGATGCAGACAGTGACTAAACATATTTCAGAGTCATGTGTAGTTGAAGTTGTAGTATAAGTTTTATTTCCCACCGTCGAGGAAAAATCACAGCATCAGATTATATATATTAAAACTACTGTATCCCTGTCATTAATGACAACAATAGACAGCTTTACTACATTGTAGTTGTTCCTTAGCTTACGTTAGGCTAGTGTGAAATTAAACTTACTTTTCTCATTACTCTTTGTTTACAGATTTGGACGCCCCTCTGCTTCCTCTCAAACAGTCAGACATGTGCCTTATTTGTATCGCGTTTGCCTCTTGGGTACTGAAGACCGCTAACCCACAAGTGGGAGATGCCTGGAAGGCGGGTGTGTATCTCAGTTTAACAGCTTCAGATCACTCAACTGGACTCTGTTTTGTTTAGTAATGCAGTTAACACTATTTCTAATCACGTTGCAGTTCTTCTGGCAAACGTAAGTGCTCTGTCAGCTATCTGGTATCTGCGTAAGTACGTCAAAGTAGAGACTTCAGCCGGTGAGAAGAAACCTAACCTCAAGACTCTCAGTCCATCCTGAACCAAAGAAAACACATATTATTTATTTTACTTATCTGCTTCATATATGTATAGAACAAGCTAGTTCTTCTGAAAATATATAGGATGAAATTACTGGAGACCAAAAGAGAAGTGCGTATGTCTTTATGAGTCTGTCTGTGTTAAGACAATGTGTCAAACTGTGTGTTGTGGAATATGATGAGGGAACAGAGTTGGTTTGAACAGTTTCATCAAGTTATGTTTAAATATCTTCAATACAGATCTTTATAGCTGAAATGTGAATAATTAAAAAACTGAAAGAAAAGAAAAACACTCAATTCACAATTTCAAGTTAAGGGGGACCTAGTCTGTGCCAGTAATAGCCTGTTTCTTATTGTGCATTTGCACATGCCATGGGCTTTAAACTAATGAGTAATAATAAAACTTGGACAATATTTTTGTCTCGTGGTACACATGGCTCTATATTATCATTTTTGTACAGTATTATGTAAATACAACATGTAACACAAGATGGCGCTATAGCACTGATTATTGGAACCAGTGTGGGAGCCAAAACCAGGGGCCATCAAATTATAGTCGTGCAACTCTGAATCATTTTTATCTGATTCAATAATGAGTTTATTGTAGACATCTACAATACTTTTAAAGTATATTGGTAAAGCTTAACTTCATTCTCACACTATATTATAAAAATAACAACCATAGGCTTCTGTTACTATTTTCTGATTCGGATGTGTGTGAAGGCTGTGTAATTATTTGATTACATATGAGATTATTAAGTTTGGTCATTTCTGTATCTTTCCAGGCATTTACTGGTTGACATTTGCTAGTTGTGAGTTACTGAATAAATCATGTGTATGCTTTCATGTGTTATTTCAATCTTTTAGATTTTATTTTTGCATTTCTTTATGTTGTAAATGTATGTTGAATGTGTTTTCCTCTTGAAGGACACTCTTGAAAAAGAGATTATTAATCTCAATGAAAAAATCACAAACATTCACACAGAGTAGCAGTGCATCCCCTGCTCGGATTGGCCATAGCTCAAAGAAACCCATACACGTTTTGTGTGGGGAAAAGAACTGCTCCTAAAATCGTATACAAAATAACTAGAACTTTGAGTAGTATTTTACCTTGCATATTATTATGTATACACTTTTTATTTTATGTATGAATTTAAAATGTAGCAGTAGTACTTACTCACTTGGCTATGTCGCTGCACAATGTTACCAGCAGGTGGCAGTCTTGAATTTAGCATGAGCTCATTGAACTTGCCTGGGATATCCTCCCAATAAATGGCAGTAGTGTAAAGGATAGGTATAATGTGAGATTTCATAACACTTCTAAGCAACTTTTGTTAAAGTTAAACTCATCATTCTATCAATGTGCAGAAGCCAATACTTTTCCCTTGTTTTGTCTATCTGAAGGCCAAGCTACATGGCACTGTGGAAGCTGCTGATTGGAGGTCTCCATGCCTCCGCTCTGTATAATACACTTGCATTCTGTTGTTCGTGCTGTCTCTACCATCGACAATAAAACATGTCTTCTGTCTGAATTTAAGACACGATCCCAGACCTTGTCATCTTCTTCAATAAGAAGCAGTAGTTTCAGCCGACACCTTTTAAGTATGTTGCTCTGGAAAATGTTATGTAATGTGTATATCAACCATTGTGAAATATGTTTTTTTTGGTTATGTTAATACAATTACGGTTGCTGACTATTACTACCTAAAGTTAAACTTGAATGAAAACTAACTCAAAGTTTAATTTTTTTTTCTTTTATAATATAAATAAGCACTTCAGACATTGCAAACAACACATTACAACATAATTACTACATACTGTAGTATTGAGCGCAGTCAGTTTAGGAAAATAGTATAATTTAAAAAAACAAAAAAACATTTACATTATGTACAAAATATTTTTTTAAAAATCCTTTGGAATGCATTTAATTACATTGTGAAAAGAAAAAAAATATCAAACTTGAAAACAGAATATTAGAGAATGTATATAAATAACATATCCAGTTTAGTACATTTATGCACTCCAAGAAAGTATTGATGCTACAAATGTTTTTTGCTACATAAAAAACGGGAGCTTTCCTCCCCTTTAAAGTTTATTTAGTCACATCCTTCAACCCTTATTAACTTAGAACCAAGAAATGTCCATCAAAGTGTCTGGTACAGTCTGTAAGCAGGCCCTTCGTGTCTGATAGGGATCTGTTGTCTGCACATGTCCCAACGAGTGCCGGACCATTGTTCGTTTTATGACCATCTCTGCTGCGTCCCCATGGCACCACGGCCTCTGGCCCCATACTCTAATCCCGTCCAGTGGGTTGAAATACCAGGCAGGGGCTGCATCATCCCTGGATCACAGTCAAACTCCCAAATGTTGTCATAGTCTAGTTCCTGATCATCTGGGTCTGTTGGTTCAAGGTATGAATGCCGACCTGGAGGATAGAAAATTATTCAGATGAATTTCAGTTATGCATCATCATACATTACAGTAGGACTAAAGGGCAAACACAAAAATGTGTACATATGTATGTGTGTGTATATATATATATGTATATGTATATGTATATGTATTTATATATATATATATATATATATAATATATATATATAATTATACATTTTTTATATTTACTTAGTTTTCTCTGCAAACTTTTGTTCTAACTGGCTGTATTCTAATATCTAATCAGTCTGTAGAACCAGAAGAGTCACATGCCATCACAACTCCACCTGCAATTGTCTTCTATGTTCAACTCTACCTGCAATTGTGTTGTATGCTCATCTCTTCGGTCTTTTCAAAATTAAAGTTGGTGACCTCTGAATGTATTGTTATTACCAATCTTAGAAATATAATTTTCAAACAACATCCCTGATTTGTAATTTTAGTCACTTCCTAAAATCCCTCCACGTGTTATAGTTTCCTCTTTTGAAAGTAGTGATAAGGAAGTTGCACCACTGAAACCTTTAGCCTAGTAGTTGTAGATATATTTAGTTCTGGTTTTACTTTTTACTTAAAGCTGGATTACCTCACTTTATTTTTGTATTAATTTAGAAAATGTTATCCATATCCATGCAGTGCATTGGGATATACGTCCTTTTGAAGAATATGTAGCGCAGGATTGTACTGGAGTGTAATTTTATTTTAAGATCGAATTTTTGCGCAACGTGAAGAGAATTTATTTTGGGTCCAGATAGTGACCAAACAAAGCGGATCACTGGCCCAGTGATCAAATGAGGAACAAAAAATACCTGCAACATTTCCATTTGTTTTTGGGCCAAAAAAAGAGACGTATCCACATATCAATATAGATCATTCATCCAGCTCCGTAAACAACAGCACACAATCACGCGCTTGAGTGGGAGGGGGGTAGAGGGGGTGATAGCTTCGTGAGTGCGGGGAGGGGAGCAGAAAGAGCGAGGACAGTGCTTACATTTGAAACTTCTGCTTTTAAGTCAAAAAGTGAGTTAGTCCAGCTTTAAGTAGTCTATAATAGCAATGAATGCATATACTACTGCACATTAGTGCAACTCCTGTCCAGTTGTGTGCTCTCATCAGTGTCCTGGAAAATTCCTGTTTATAAGCAGTTTTCCCTTACATTGAGCTTCCCTGTGTGTTCACACCACACTGAGCCTCTTTCATAGGTGCATTTGCACGTTTCTTGTATTTTGTACTCTCTGAAGCCTGTTGTTGGGTCATTTATTCTGACCAGGTTTATTATAGGCATAATATTTACAGCATTGTGGTACCCATGGCTGTATTTAGTCAGGAACATGGCAGAGTTTCTAAATACACACCTACAAGAAATATGATCATGGACTGTTGTGGCTGTCAAAATAATGTGACCTGTCTGGAAGTATATTACTGTAGAAGAGGTTGACATTGTGTTTCTGTAGCCTTCCCTCAACTGCTTACATTTTTGTCATTTTGAAGAAAGAGAATTTACAACTGACATCAGGTTCTTGCATGAACTGTCTATTGTATCTGAGTATTTATAGCTTGTACAAACAAGATAGTTTTATTGTTGCATTCCTTAAGTTCTTACCTGGTGAGTAACCACAAGACATCTGATAAGTGTTCATCCCTGTATTTGAAGGGGGGTGAGCCTGTCAAAAGATGACAACAAAATCTTACTTCTTGTGAAGAGCATATTCTTGTATTTTGTCACAAATATGTTTTTAAATTTCTAGCGTTTGTTAAAACATCACTTGCAAAAGTAGTATTTACATATTCTGTAGCTGCTTTACTGCATTCCCGAAACCCGAGTGTCCTGGGACATGAGTGACTCTTAGCTTCTCACCTGCTCTTGGACTTGGTTGGGCATTGGCAGCAGCTTGAGTCGGGAAACTGCCTCTGCTCTCCTCTCGGCTTGGCTGTAGGGTGTTTCCATCTCCAGACCCAGATTGTGGCCCTGGGGATTGGTTAGGACCAGGCTCCTTCTGAAGCGGCGGCCCATTGGAGGTGTCCTGAGCTGGAACGTGGAGGGCATGAGCTGGGGCTCTTGCCAACTTTGGTTCTATAGGGAGCAAAGAGTATGGAAAATGAATTTAAGGCTGTCATGACACATTGTGCAGTGAATTAAAACTGTGAACATTAAGTCACTATTTTGTTAAAATTGAACGGCACATTATTGTTTCAGTCTGTTATTTTTGTTGGCATTTATGATCATATCACAGATTTACTACTTACTACAGCTCAGACCTCTTCCAAATACACCGTTATCAATGTTTCACAGTAATAATTTTCACATTCATTGGCTTTCGTGCCCAATTCTCTGCTCTCTCACATTTCCCATTTGCATTAGGTTGCCATGTTGGAAGCTTGCATAGCTAGACTGTAAATTGAGGCTCTAGATCTAATGTCATTGCCCCACTTACTTCAGCTTGTGCCTCTTCCAGGGAGTAGATTTCAGGGGTGCAGGGCTCGTCATAAAGTGGAGACAGAGGCTGACGTGGTGCACACAGGTCTGAATGCCGCTGATTTGCATGCAGCGAGGAATTGAAAGAAGTCTGAGGGGTGCTCCAGCTGTTCGACTGAACCAAAAAAACAAGACAAATGTTATTTCCTTGGTCATCACTGTACATCGAGTTCAAATTTAGAACATGCCACGACATGTAGAATCTATTTTAGACACAGTGCATATGATCTGTCCACCATCTAGGAGAATATTTAGTATTCACGTTAGCAGTCAGACTACGTTACCTTTACAAGTGGAGCTTTTTCCTGTCGCTGCTGGTGTGAATGTATTTTGGAAGAGTATGGGGTGCTGTATAGTGCAGATGTCTCGCTGGGTGGGAGGTATTTGCTGTGCTGAGGAGAGGAGTATCTTAGAGATGGGGGCCTGGTGTGGGACGACATGCTGTTGGTTCGACTGCCATATCGAGCGGTTTCAGTGGATGAGGGACGGCTAGAGTACTGTAGAAATAAACAATAGAAAAATCAGTCCATTAGGTTTTACAAGGGTTGACTAGAAATCTCCACACAATTTTATTTTCATTCGCTATTAACATTTTCTCTCTAAAGATGAAAGTTTAAAGAGTTATTCTGCATGTTCTTTTTTGGATATTTGTGTAATGAGTAGGGTTAGGAGTTTGAGTAGGGGTAGGAGTTTGAGTTGCGGTAGGAGTTTGAGTTGGGGTAGAAGTTTTCAGTGAATCAAATGAAGTTATAATTGGAAAGCAGTGCAAAATAGCATGACTTTTGTTCTTTGAGTGTTTCCAACTTGGAGGTAATGAGATGGGCAGTTGGCTAACTAACACATTCCGGGGGAGTAGCAAACTCTTGATAATGTAGTATACACAGGCAACGTTTTCTCCTGAATCAGCATCAAAGCTTTTCATCTTCCATTATTTCTACACTCATTTTCATCTAGAGATTCTCCAACGCAAATAACAACCCCAGCCCTGGCTTTGTAACTGGAGCAGGCTGACCTTCTTTAATTGATAACTTGGCAAGGTAAGGCTTTGCAATCCGGTAGACTTAATACAACCAAAATTCTGTTTATACAGTCTGTTTACTTACACAAAGCGGTTCAGCATATCCCGGAGAAAGAGGGTTGTCTTCATGTGTTGGAAATGTGATGTTTTGAGAAGATTGTCCAGTTTGGCTGAACCTCAGAGAGTCTTTCTTTTCATGGCTGTGTCCACTCCATCTGTCAGCCTGCTGACCCTGAGAGGAAGGGACATTGGAATAAAAATGCCAATACTAAGTTAATTTGCTACTTTTTTTACAATGAATATCATCTTACCTGTTTTTGTGTTGGGGTGTAGATTATGTCATACACCGGGGGAGGGGGGCTGAGAACTGGGACGTCAGCAGCTTTCAAATGCTGTATCCAGTCGCAATACTCAGTCCTGTCCAGGCAGGACACTACTATGGGGTTGATCAGTTTGCCTAATATGGAACAGAAGCACAAAGGCTGTCATTTGGCCCATTTGTTCAAAGGAATGTGCTAAAGTCAGAGTGACATTCATTGGGGATAAAACCAACTCATTCATGTGGAGATGATATGTGTGACGCTATGGACTTGTAGAAAGGCCACTTAGGCTAAAGCATGCATAAGAAATCTACTCAGTGCGTCACAGTTGAGTGTTCAGCAGCTCACTGCATTTACCTTCAATCATAAATGTGTTGGGCTTAATGTCTTGGCAGGGAGTGGTCACCGTAATCATGTTCACAGGAAGCTTTCCCTGTAATCACAAAGCATTAAATGTTTGGTATTGGAAAAGTTAATCGAATCCATGGTGAATAACAGTTTTTAAGGCTAAATGTATCTATGATACCTTGTAGAAAAGAACATCGTTTTCTTCGGATAGGATGATTAGGGTAGATGCGTACATCACCAAAAGCCTGTCACTTTGTTCCTGCAGAGACACATTTGTTGGTTTTTGAAAGCATAAATAAATTGAAACTTTATTCACATTTGCAGATATGTCAATATCTTATGTGGTATTCATAACTTGCATGACTAATTCATGATTATTTTGTCGTAATGAGTAATTATTTTAATGTTTTATCAACTCTAACCCCAATAGTACTGCAGTTGTACCAGCCATTTAAAGGTGCGGTGGTGTGTTTCCCATTCAGAGGGAGTGTCAGATGGACAGCTGACATTCCAGCTGTGAGGTGAGCCGAGTGCCTCTCACACACCCAGACTCTAAATCTCACCCACTTCAATCGAGCTACCGCTATTTCCCACACAATATTAGCCACAGGCTCCTGAAGCTGCTGTCATAACTGATGTTTTAAGTTGCCGTCTGGAGGAACGTTTGAAAGCATTATGTTTTTATATTTAGTAAATAAAGCCATTTTTGCTTGCATAAACAACATGACCAAGAACTGGCCACACCTTTTGTATTGAGTTATATTCATGAATCACCAAAATGTTTTCCCAGACTTTAAACTATGCATCACAAGTTTCACTAGACCTAACTGCCCATTCTTTACTATAAACTGCCTTACGTAATGGATCCAAAACGGATTGCAAGACAAACAGAAGTCATACCTGACAGGGGAGGTGCTGCAGACGGACTTTAGTCACATAAGTGATGGGGCCCAAGCTGTCGCGCTGAGAGCCTTCCCACTCGTAGATAGGCTCCCTGTTGATGGAGTTTCTCAACTCTTCCTTACCAGCTTTGGTTTCATTCTGATGTAACTACAGGTATAAAACACATTATTACCCCATGAGGCCATTTCAAATGTTCATGATATTACTGAAACTTTCCAGAATGTTAAGGTTTTGTTTATGTTTAAATAACTGCATCATCAGTAATAGGGATTTCTCTTCTTGTGACACATGTAGGTCTATGTGTTTCATCAGTCCATTCTAGACGTGTGGAGTCAGCACTTTGTCCCAGATGTGACGGGACAGTGCCGCTCCCTGCGCTCAGTTCTCTGGGAGAACAGCATTGACCCACTTGACTCATGGATACACATGCTCATACACATCCTGTTTTATCTCAGCTGTAGAGGCTATAGCTGTTGTTTGCTAATCCACTGTGGATTACACCTGACCACACGCAATGCATGTTTGAACATGAAGCTATGTTGGTCTGATGCAGGTCAGCAGCCATAAGAGGCACGCATTTAAAATATCTCACTTACTTTGACCCTTGTGAAGCTTTCTGGTGCAATTGCAGTGCCTCCATTGGCTTCAATGTTTTCTTTCAGAAGCCCAAACCACATGTCCATTTCTTCTTGGTTTGCACAGTAGACAATAATGGGATTGAGACTTACACCTGCATGGGTCAAAAGGCACAAGTTCAAAGAAGGAACGTGTCATTGTGGCTCGAGAAAGCCACTGTGGTAATGATTAACATCTCAACCTCTGAGGGGCCCACTTCCTTTAATGTTTACAACATGTTCAGCAAGAAAGTTTCAAATGGGTGTTTTTATTTAGACAAAGTTTCATATTCTCAATGACCTGTTGCTTTTGCCATGTCCATGTCCTCCCTCAGTTTACACCGAACATGCATCAGGAGCTACATAAAAAGAGCTGGAATCTGCCTCTGTCTGCTCTATACATACCTCAGATAACCAGAGCTTTTCTCTTTAACTTGTCATAATACATACGCCGTTTCTTGTTGCTCACTTGTTTAACTTTAGATCAACTCTTGCTGTATCTACTATACTGGCAATGAGGGTAAGGCATTTAAACTAACTAACAGCATTATATACTGGAACTCATCTAGCTGTGGTATTACAACCATCTGAGGACTTCTGACTATTTTCCTCCTGCACATTTGGTTCACATTTTCTACGTCACCACCAACTCACACTTTAGCCAGGAGCTGATTCATAATTTCTGCTCAGTCGGAAATCGCTGCCTCACAAGATAGGAAGCCGGGGAAATAACTCTTAAACTTGAAGTTGTTCCCTGACTCAGAAGTTTATCACACTTCCTGTATTTTCTGTCTACCTTCATTTTGATAAGACTGAAGCACAATGGCACACAATAATAAGATAGATTGGGAAATACTAATCATCTAAGCATGTCAATATTTGAAAGTGGTTCAGATTTCAAAATAGCTCCAATGAAGATATTTGCACTAAGAATGACATAATGATTTACCTTAACCCCTGACTTTGGTTTTAAATGTTACTCAAAGCAGAATCAAAGGTCTTTGATTCTGCACCCATAACCTTTTCATCTCCTATGACAATAAATCAGTTTTGGGATTATTTTAGCCTCAGTGGAGTTGAAAAGATAAGTGGAATTTCTCCGAGGCATTAACCTGAGTAGATATGGGAATGTGCCATAGATTATTGGCGGTGACACGGCTATGGGCGGTATCTGGTCTTTTGTATGCAACAGCTGAGCCCACTGAAGTGCACCTGTCGTCTAACAAGCGAAGCACTATGTAGCTTCCCTGGCCCCGTGACCAAGGGTGAAGGGGCCCAATTCTAGTTAGTCTTTAGGTTGAGAGGAGGTGAAGGAGGTCGTGGCACATACAAGTGACTAGAATGGGACTACAGCGGAAATGGAGTGGCTTGCAGTTGTATTTGCTTATGTTTTGGAAAAAAAAAATGTATGTATGCAAATATAGCAATATGGCAGTGAAGAGCCGTTTTACCTGTTTCTATTACTTGGATTACAGCCGATTAAAAACCAAACCCATAATTGCATTGCATTCCTCTGCTTTGTCCTTTAACGTGAGCGTCCAAAGAAGCGCTACACGAGTATGATGCGCTATTATTACTTTTTGCCGTCCATTATCCTTAAAGCATAACTTACCGTTTATTTGAAAAGCAAATTCCTGGGCTTGGCTGTGATTGCAGTTCTGTTGAAGGTTGTGTATTGTGAGCTCTTTCAATGGAAGAGTTCCCTGCAATACAATAACAATATAATAAATAAAACCTAAAAGCTTTGTGGCCACATTTGAACATTTCCAATAATTAAGCAATTTGGCTATTAAGTCAGCATGCTTGGTAATTCTTTGCTGTGATTACTGTAAATGTTTCTGACTAACATACAGGTGCTCAGGTTTACTTTGTCCAGACTCAGTGCAGCAGAGATGATTAATGGCAGCCTCAACTTTATGAGACAGGTGACGATATGGGATCACGCTCCCTGTTTACTAACACGCAGGTGGTTGACAGGGAGCACATGTAGGCTTCTATCATGGAATTACATAAAACATCTGGCTCGAAAGAATCATAAAAACGGTTTTATATGTATACTGAAAAGTTACCTGGTAGGTCAGGCCAGTGGTATTGTTGGATACAAAGTGGAGATGCGTCTGGAAAAGGTCCAGATAGCAGTCATGGATGTCCTGGGGGGACAAGAGAGACACATTAACACATTTTCTGCAAGGGCATCAGTAAGGCCAATTGTTCTTTGTCTATAAGGAAGCCCTTGATTCCATTAATGAGGAGTCAAGGGGTCTTCCTTATGAATGATTTGATTTAAGAACATACAACAAGAGCATAAGAAGGAATTCAATCATGTTTTATTTAATGAACGGGTCATACAGCAGATCTTCTATGTGTGTAAATGTAAAAAAAAAATGTCTACAATGAATATATGTTGTAATCAATGCACAATGCCATTAGTCTGTAAAATAAAAGTGCTACAAAACTTCACTGTGAACTATAGAGCATCATGTCAGTATTGTTCCAAAAGGACTACATGTACTGGTAATTTAAGGGAATCACATTAATTGTTGATCAAGATGACTCATCCCTAATTAATTGTCGTACTTCTGTCTTCACCATCTCTCGAAACATATAACTCATATCAATCTTTCCTTTCATGCTTTTGACAAGGCTGTTGTGTCACTCGCTTTGACAAATTGCAGTTCCCACGTTGGAGGAGCTGTTGTGTCTTATCAGGTTTAGGATCAGAGGAACACTCTCTACCCTGAGGTTTTCTATGTACTCTTTCACAACTTTAGCTGAGAGTAGCATGTCTCAACACAAGCTGCCGTCGAGATGAAAAAAAATTCAAAAACATTTGCAAAGAGTAACAAATAATACATGTGGGGCTTGCAAAACGCTCACATCCTGTTAGCTTTTTTATTGCTGTGGTGGGTGACTGGCATGGTGTGGCGAAGGCTTGGCCACCGTTTTTATTATCAATGTGGGTTTTGAGTTTTTGTTTTTCTTCCTATTTGAATTCCTTTGGGATGTGCATCTTAACTTCCGTTCAAGAAAGCACATTTCCCTATTTGGGAGTGTTTCGTAATGAGCTATACATAGATAATTATTTTAAATTTTGAATGTATTTTTTTTTCCAAATAAAATAAACATCAATATGTATAAAAATGGGCCAAATTGCAAACAAAAAACATGTGGAATACTCAACAACCCATTTATCTAATGCAGACGGATATGTTAAAACTAGGAACTATTTCACAATAGCGACTTGTCATTGGTTTGTGAGTTTTTAGCTTCATTTATTATAGTAGAACATTGTTTTTAGAAGGCATCATTGTGTATGTGTGTGTTGAGATACTTGAATGAGTTCTGTACCGTGTATAAGATTGAGATAGAGATACTAATAACATGTGTGTGGGCCAGTAAAGGAGAGAATGATAACGTTTGGGGCCATTCGTTTTCTTTTGTGAGATCTGAGTTTATCTCTGCACCACAAGATCTGGGCACTGTCTTCTTGATTATTGCGAGAAACCAACCCCTTCACCCTTTAATTGTAGATTGTTACTAACCTCGCAATGCTGAAAGCGAAATCGAACTTTGGAGCTGTGAACCATTCTTCCATAATTTTTTACATTGATGCTGCTTTTCTTCCAGCCGCTGGCAGGGTCGTATGCAATTAGTGGATCCCATTTGATGTTTTCGATTGTCTGCAGATCTTTAGGTGACATTTCCTGCAAACAGTCATTGTGTGGTAACAGTTAGAACCAGTCAGACCAGCTGTTAAAGCAACATTTAACACTCTGTTTTCTTTGGTATGTGAGTGGATGAGTTTTTATCCAGGATGTCCGTACCTTTCTGGGTGTGACGGTGCACAGTATATTGATGATACTGTTGGACTTCTCCTGTCCCTCCTGGGGATAGTTTTTGCGAAACAGACGACTGCTGCTCAAGAAAAAATACATTTTTAGTATTATGTTATTTTTCTGACACTAGGATTTCTGGGTTAGACCGATATTCTAAATGTTCAACTTTTGAAATTCACTATTGGACTATTCAGTGACTCAATGTCAATGACCTCCATACAAACTTTTTTAATTTGAGTTTTATATTGGAGCTCCGTCTAGCTGATTGACAATGTCATTTAGAAAAGTTCAGGACTTATTTCGTACTTCCTGTTTCCTGCTTGAGCCTTCAGTGCCATGATCATTAAAACTCTATACAGACAATCAGGGCTTGTGTCAGTGATAGCATAGTGGATATCCATAGGACAATGGTGCTTCAATGTCTCCTATTGTTTTCGCTGACCCCCATCTGTTACCATTAGTGTCACATCTGGATGAGGAAGCTCCCACATTGCAGCGATAACACAACGATGACTGCGTTTACAATCTCAGCATGGAGTTTATCCGCTTATCTGTGCATGTGTGTGCCAGCGTCCTTAAGGCAACAAGAGAAGCCTTTGTTCAGACTGTGGGAATCAAGGTCCATCTCATCAGGAAGCCACTTTTAAATATTATCTATGTTAACAATAAAGAGCACGACTTTGTGAACCTCAAGTTTTAAAAATATTGAAGTCTTCTGACGCAATACACAGTTGCAAAGTGAAAGAGGAATGTGGATAATAGACAGGTAGCTTTGCTTTGACAACATGATGCAGTGGTATTCAAGACGAATCCACTGTGGGGAATACCTGAGCCTGGCCCGACTCTGCACTAAAAGGGGGTGGAAACCTCAGTCAACATGGACACTAGGTTTATTGTCTGATCTAAATTTGAACATATCGGCATTCACGATCCTACTGGGTTTCATAGGTGTGTAACGGTTTTGTTTCGTTTGAATTTGAAAGTGCAGCCCTGGACCAGTGCACTGCAGCAGGTTAACAACAATCAGGTGTGGGTCCAGTGGGCCTCAGGGAACATGTCCTGGCAAAAACCTAGACTGTAATATTTTGTTCCTGTTTCTAGATCATTTTACCAGTTGTATATCTAATTTATAACTCTGAGGGATATTAACTTTTTTAAGTTGTTTTAAAATGTTCAATATAAATCAAATATTGAACCTACAAATGTATTACATTTGCTTAGGGTCAACATTTTTAAAAATGTCTGTGTGGTCCTTGAACTTAATTAATCTGCAGTTCGCAGATGTCTTTTTCAAAATATGTTTTTACTTATTGACAAGGTTTTTCTAAATCTCTAAATAGTGAATACAATCTAAAGTAACATCCACTACAAAGTCCTCTTCTGATTATACAATCAGTCCAGTCTGAATTCTGAGGGAAACCAGATTCAGTGACAGCTGCTGGATCATCTTCACAGAGATGTGAAGAGGAGGCAAATGGTTACTGTATCTTTGGCACCTTTGCGGCCAGCGACAGGACACTGGGACTTTCCTGTTACATTACAATATGATCCTCCTGAGCTTGATATATTCTTCCCTCAAAAGTTCACAGCCTTACCTCACTCCTCAAACACTGAAAAATACTACAAATTCCTTCCTTCCACTTAGAAAAAAACAGCAGTTAAGGCCATGCATGTCTCCATGTAGACTGCTTTCTCTATCCTGGACATAGTGGCAGAAATATCAATAATAAGTGTCTCACCTATTTCTGCGAATGAAGCTCTTGCTTGAGAATCTAAAGTTGTGCTGGGGGACACATGACATGCTACTCCCCATGCTGCCCCTTTAGTTAGTCCTGGACAAACTGTGCGGTCCGATGTGATGAACAAGTGTAATATCCCAGAATCCAGTGTACAGTGCTGTGCTCCCTGCTCTAGTCAGAGTTGTAGTGAGACTTCAGCAGACGCTCAGGGCTGTTTGGACCCAGCTATCTGCGTAAAAGGGGAGGAGTCCTGTCTGTGTCATAGAGTAGTGAATAATCAGCACACAGGTCACTCCTGTCTGGTGAATGAGTCCTACAAAGCGCAGGGGAGGGGGTGAGGGTCCAAGTGTGCCATTTCACACCTTGCAGGCACCAAATGGGGTCTCGTTATGCTTTACCCTGGGAGGATTGGTGATCAACTGTGTGTTCATCAGAAATAGAGATGGGAACCCAATGACATGACCAGACACGTGCCATTCCTTCAACCTGAAGAAAGATTATTGGTATGATAAAAAACCAAAGAACATCAATTTGAAACTTGAGTAGTCTTTGCGTAAAAATGTTGTACTGTTTGTTGTATAAATATTGAGGCGTAATTATGATGAAACAGAACTTTATGGATCCAAAGGATGTAATCATAATAAAGATATAGCTCGTGATTTTTTTATAGTTGAGAAATTATCATTTGAATAGATAAACGGATAGAATGCCCTATTCATCAGTCTAATAAGATTCATATATTGCAAAACATTAACTATAAATGCACTTTGAGAGTCTTTGTAACACACTTGACCAATTTAACACAATGAAAAAACATGAATTACGTTCCCAAAATGAAATACGTGTTAAGTGTTTTTTGTTATAATTTGAACATCTTCCTGCTTTGCAATAACCTGTTGACCTCAACTTTAACTGATAATGACAGATTATTGTTTTAATATATCCAGTCAATTAACTACCATTACAAAATACACTTATATATTTACACTTTACAAAGGTGAAAAAATATTGGCTGCTCTGTGCTCATGTGTCCAAGAGGTCTCAGTAGGCCTAACCCAACTTCAGAAAATAATGTAGGTTATTGTGTCAGTATAGGTTTGTGGATTCAGAATTTTCCTAAGTCAAGAACTTTATGCAAATAGGCTATGTGCAAATAACTGTATCGTATATTATGGCCGTCGTCCAAGAAAAATAGCAGTTTGAATCTATTGTTGATTTACAGTAAATCATTATGTTTTTCTCCATTAGATGCTGAATCATTTCATGGACAATGACATATTTTTCTCAGTTAGAGCATGAAGTCAGTTGTCTGATCAGCCCATGTTTGCTCATTAGATCACTGTCTGGAGTAACATCCACAGAGCTATGTCCTGGTGATGCCAACTTGTCAGACCGGATTGTTTTTCTATGTTTACACCCGGGGCTCCAACAGTCATCTGCTTGTTCAAACATCTAACAGTGTTTTACTGTTCTCGAGAGGAGACCCACCTACTGATAGGGCCTAATTCAATCATGCTGTAGTGATAAGCGCTCACTGCTCCGACGGCGTGGATGAGTGAAAACACATGTGAGAGACAGGGCTAATCAAAGTGAATGACTGACACATTATATGATAAGGAGGCTAAAGAGTAAACCCCCTTTCACTGGATAATCCCACCTCGCAGAGTAGATGGAGAGTCAAGATACAAGGAGTGTTAAACAAGTGGCCACTGTAGTCTACTGTCCCAGACTTGAGGACCATATTATGTGTGTAAGGTCCCAGCAAAAAGTATTCCATATTGAGGTTTTATTTAGAGATTTGTATGGCATGTATTGGTCTTATAAACCTGGAGCTTCAACTAATAACAAAATTCCACACAATAGGATGCATTGCTTAATTTATATTAATACGCACATAAATAGGTGTAGAGTATATAGAGTTTAAAGGGCTTTTCTAGTCATTTACATAATATTAGGTTCAAAATCCTACTTGCATATTTCCAGAAAATTGTATTGGCAATTGGTTCCTCTGGGTTCTATACTTCGGTATCCAGCAGTACTTTGTCTACCTCTTATTTCATATGTAAGTGTAGTTAAAGAAAATTAAATAAAGTATGTTCATACCATAAGACTCTAGGGCTGTAAGTATTTTTCTTATCAATTAGATGACAGATTAATCTTTTGATTGAATTAATTAGCTGTTTGGATCCCAAAAGTGAATATGGGATTTTTTATACATTTGACTAAGACAAAGTGAATGTGATGCCTTTGGAATGGCCTGCTGTTTTGACATCTTTATAGAGATAACTTGTTAAAAGTGCTGTTTGCTTCACCAGTTACAGAACAGTAGGAACATAGCACAAGATAAATGAAGCAATAAAAGTATAAAATCTCTACCTTTTGGAATAATAAGAAGCAAGTACAAAGTATGATATAGTTGTACAGTATGTACATATTAGCAGCATGATAGTTGAAGTATTAAGGAAAATGTGTTGTTTCACTTATTTATTGAATCTTTTTACTTTTCAGTTTGAACTCTTCTTAAACAATACCATATTACCCTCATTACTATTCTACCCACGGTCCATTTGTTTCATGTCTCTCTATCAATATCGAGAACTTCAGTATGTGTTAGTTTTATTACGTGTAGTCAGTATGTGTTAGTTTTATTACGTGTAGTTTAAGAGCCTCCCTTTTCTGACTAAGTCTTCTCTGGAACAACTGAAATTGAAACACGAAGCAAAAGATTCCAGTATTGAGGAATTTTTTGGGGGGGTTAGGGTTTCAGATGAATATCCTCATATGACTCTGACTCAATCTTGTAATCATTCTTTACATTTAGGAAAAATGTGTTAGGAGGTATCAAGTTTTTCCCTGGGAATTTTTAGACAGGAGTCAGTCCAGTTTCTGTTCAGTTTCTGGTCATGTTTGAACAAGTCTGATGCCTGTCGTAACTATTTCAATTGTTTTGCTCCAAATTACAGGTGCATAAAATCAACACTGTCATTATCTATTACAACGTGTTACTCAATATCCAGCATTTGTCATACGTACAGTCGGGATTGTGGTGGTTTCGTGTCCCACTGCCGCAACAGGAAGAGGAAAGGGAAATACCGAGTGCTTTGCCAAAATAAACACTACATAGCGTAAGGATAACAGCCCATTCATTTTACAGGACCACTTTATAACACAGGCCACATAATTCTTGAATAGGCTGCACAATGAATACTTCACATAGTTTCCCATTACAAACATTGGTGCTGGGTTTAAGCTGACCGCTACTTGCCATTGTCACTATTATTAATATTAACTGATTACAACAGCAAATTTTCACATATAATAATGTGGTCCATTATTACGTTGCTGTAAACTGTATTGTAACTGAAACTAGGCAAGACATGTTTAATTGATTAGCATTGATAACAATCTCTTTGTTTCTGACTATAAACTTAGTTTTGAAAGTTTGTTTGCATCCACACACTGATCTGTTGGATGCAGTGGAGGAGTTAGTCCACTGGTCTATGTTCTCCTGCAGTCTGTGAGACATGGATCTGGATGTCATCTGTGTAGTTGAACAAAAAGGTCCCCATCATTGATCCCTGTGGTACACCACAGTTTCCAATCCCAACAAAGTACTTCCTGTCTTCTAGATATGACTTGATAAAAATTAGGGCAGTGCCAACGAGAACCATTCACTCCTCTAGTCCGCTATGAGAATCTCATGGTTGACGGTGTTAAAAGCAGAACCCAGATCTAACCAGATTAAAACTGAGACTTTGCCAGCGCCAGTGTCCACTCTGATGTCCTCCATAAAAGTGGTCTCAGGGATGTGGTGGGGTCTAAAGCCAGACTGGAATATATCAAAGGAGTATTTAAGTAGGAAACATTTTGGTAAGCTGTTGGTAAACAACTTTTTTAAGGACTTTCCCTTTAAATGTGTATAAAATGTATAAAAAGTTTCCACTATAAAATGTAAAAAATCTATATAATTGGGTATGATCACTGAACTTTATTTCAGCATAGAATTTGGCATGAAATCATGGCATTCTATATTTGTTGACAAAAACTGTTATAGTTTTTGTCAACATTTCTATACTACAATGATTGATTCAATATAAATATGTGGATATAACGGATTTTTTAAATTCTATTCTGCATAGATGTATTCCTGAATGTATTCATTTTATTCTGTTATTGGTTATTCTGCTATTTTGTTTATTGTGCACGTTTGAAATAAACAATTTAACTAACTAACTAATCTGAATGACCATGTTTATATTGTGCTGACCTTGTGTGGGGCCTTTACTCTAGCTGACTCGCTGGTGTTTATCCAGACTCAGCTGCTGAGGCCAACGGTGCGAATGTCACACCTCCGGTCACTAAAGCGGAGCCTGGAGTCCAGACCCCCAACATCAGGTGTCTGTTGGAGGATCTTGCGCGACAATGTTCTCACACAGGACCCTCATAAAGAATCCTAATTGGACAATATTTTCCCTTTGAAGTGAGATCAGTCAAACTAAATTTCAAGCTTAGTGTCTAAGGCTAGCTACATGTTCCATAGTATACTTTCTGTCTTAAAGAGAATATGGTTTAGGACAAGCATACACATTTTGTTTTAAATAGGAAAAGTAGACAAATTATCACAAATGTATTCCTTTTTTATTTCATTAAATCCTTTTTATTCTACCGTAACTGCAGGACACATAACAAGATTATTTCATATGCATCAAGACTTTTGGAAGTATTTCTTTCACATTTCTGACAACTGCATATACAGTGCCTTGCGAAAGTATTCGTCCCCTTGAACCTTTCAATATTTCGCCACATTTCAGGCTTCAAACATAAAGATATAAAAATTATTTTTTTTGTCAAGAATCAACAACAAGTGGGACACAATTGTGAAGTGGAATGAAATGTATTGAATAATTTAAACTTTTTTAACAAATAAAAAGTGGGGCGTGCAATATTATTCGGCCCCTTTGCGCTAATACTTTGTAGCGCCACCTTTTGCTGCAATTACAGCTGCAAGTCTCTTGGGGTATGTCTCTATCAGTTTTGCACATCGAGTGACTGGAATTCTTTCCCATTCTTCCTT